GAATGCGGGAAGTAGATTAGTGTGGTTAGCTTTATCATGGAGGAATAGTGACTGTAATGAACAGCAAGAAATATGCCACAAACTTTTAATGTCTTTCTTTACTGCAAAAAGCCTCTATATTTCTTCTATGCTACACAATTAAAAGATGAAAATAATGTTAAAGTGGTCTAGGCTGTTTTGGTTTTTTTTTTGGAAGTGTGATGTATAAGGCAAATGGGGGAAGAGCCATGGCTGTGCCTGCGTGAGCAGTGGTGGGGAACGGGGCACCAGGCAGGAGGGAGCACTCAGGGCGGGCATACGCACCAGCTGCGTTTTGGGAGAGTTACTTCAGACCAGGTCCAGCCTGGTCCCACGGACTGACCTCCCTGTAGCCATTGGGCCTGGGAGGTGCACGCCTGTACCGTGGGTTGGAGTTGGCCATGGCACAGGACACAGCGTTTCTATGATCCGAGCCCACAAAGTGTGATAAGGATGGGGCAGAGGGGGTGCTCAGGTGTTTCATTCCCAAAGCGCACTCCAGGGGAAACAAGGAGCCCATAGGGCCTTTGCAGGTGCGGCCTTCCTATACCCGCTGGTGGCTATCTTGGGTGCAGCTCTGCAACCACACAGCTTTAGGAACCTGTAATAACAGCGATCCTTCACTCTCCCTCCTTCCCTCCCAGAAGTCTGTGGACTTCTCCATCCTTGGAGAAACAAGGGAATTCCTTAGCCCCAGAGGTCAGCCTTTGCTCCAGCTGCACAGCAAGGGCATTGGGCCATGCTGAGCTGCCAGATGGGTTCCCTGGGGCTCTGCCCTTTGCTGGGGCCCTCGGGCCCAGGTGTCGCAGGGGTGTGAGAGAAAACCACCTCCTTCCCCCTCTGCCAGGCACGCCAAGTGCAGCTTTCATGTGGGCAGCCATATGCCAGGCTGCCAAAAATAACAGTTATTTTTAACGTAGTTGGGATAACAAGACCCGCTTCATTTATTACAAAATAAACTGAGACTGGTCTGTTGTTTCACACTGTTACCCGGGTCGCGAAGGTTGAGTGTTTCCTCCTTGATCCTTGCATGTGGACATGATAATGCATGAGAGGCTTCGTGTCCTGCCTGTCGACTGCTATAATGGCTAAGAACTTTAAAGCAGATACTTCGGAGAAAGGGAATAAAAAGAATGATATCACTTCTAGTCAGTTCTGCATTAAGAAAGGAGTTTTCTGCTATGATAGTAGGGCTGTACATATTTTCAAGTTAGTATCTAGCCCTTCTTCGTATTTTACAGGTCTATTTTCCTTAAGAATTGAGTTCTACAAATAGTAACGTTTCTCTTACAAATTAGGAGGGTTTTTTACCTGTAATGCCCTTGTATTCTGTGAACTGAATGCAGAGGAGCCCACAGGAATGCAGGGTCTTTCCCCATTATTCCCAATAGAGGCTTGCTTTCTCAGTTGTTCTTAGGTGATGCTATCTCTAGGCTGTCACTCTTAGCTGTATGTCTGTCATATTCCCTCTTATCCTTCCCTCAAAGATGTTTTCTTGGCCTTTCTTTTCTGGGCCATCCATCCAGTTGCCCTTGCTTTAAATCCCAGTGGGAAGAGGTTTCTAAAGCAGAAATGTGGGGTAGATGTGTGACCACACCATGTCTCCGCGAGCACTGCTCCCTTCTGCCCTGCCTGCTATCTCCAGCGGCCGGAGGTGCCTCACGCATGAGATACAATCGCAACTTGACGTGCACTTATCACTTCACATCGGGTTTCTTTGTTTGCCTCTAAATGGGCTATGTAACGTTAAGTATAATGCTGTTAAATCATTTCTTCTTAATAATGGAATGTTGCACTTTATTTCATTACAGCTGTAGAGTGAGTGAAAGTTGCTGAGCTAATCCTGAATCTGAAATTTGACAGTCCTCTTGGACAAGTGCTTGTAGGTCCCGTTGAAATTTGCATTGCTGCAACTGATGGAATGCTTGAATCTGTTCAATTCTTGTGAAATTGAGAGGAGGGACAATTTTAACACTTAAATTCCCGTCTTTAACACTGCACAGATGGTGTAGGGGTTTTTCATTTTGTATATTATTTTGGGTTACTGAAATAAATATTCTGCTAGTTACAACTATCCGCATGCATATCACAGAGTTCATTTTGAGGACAGAGCTCTAAAATAAATTATAGACCTTGGTAGCAGTCATAAATCAGTCATTTTTTACATAGAGAAAGTGGTGGCACTGGAAGAAAGTTATTTAGTGATCAAAATGCATCGTTAAGCTTTTAAAAAGGGATTGTGTGCCTGTAGTAGAGCTGTAGGCGATTTATAGCTTATCTGTACTCATTGCCTCAAGCTTTTGGAAAATTTGTAAACAAAGCCAGATGCTCATTATGTTCCTACTCAGGGTTGGTTAGATGGGTAAATGCCATCAGAAAGCACTTTGGTCCTGTTGGGTTTTAGCATGTTACAGGAAATGGAATTGCTCCATATTTTTATTTAAATATTTATTATCCATGAAAATATACTTCTAGTTTCTGTTCATAGAATGGGTTTTTTTAAATAGTTGTAGATGATAAAAATATGAAAGTAATGCTCTCAGAGCTGTATTGTATACTAGCTTTTCCTCTGTGTTAGACTTCATGCTTACAACATGTGATGTTGTCAAGCACCACTCATTCTTTCTAAGGGTTTTGGGAAATGCAGAAGGCTGTGGAAACTTCAGGCTAGGGTAGCTTCTGCTTTTTACCAGATTTTAGGTATCTGAGAAGTGAAGTAAGTGACTTTTTGTGACAGTTTGATAAGTTGTTTGCTATTGGTTTGGTAATTTTTACTGCTTGCCTTTTTTCTTCTGTATAGATGATGTGATGTGAAAGGGGTTCTTTTAAACTACCTTTTTTTGCTTGTTAGTGCTCTTTAAGCATAAGAAATCATGCTGCTGTATACAAATTGAATTGCTATAGATGAAAAAATTTTCCTTGTAATCATATTTATTGCAATATGATCATCATGTAATTAATTTCATAATTCATTATTAACTTTTTGGTGTATTTTTTTTATTTATCGGCTGCAGCTGACCAAGTAAACAGGTCATGGCACGCTTAACGAAGAGACGACAGGCAGATACAAAGGCTATCCAGCATCTTTGGGCAGCTATAGAAATAATCCGGAACCAGAAGCAAATTGCTAACATTGACCGTATTACAAAGTAAGTGATCCATTCCAAAAAAAGTCTTGATGGAGGGGAAGGTTGATGCTATTAAAAGCCCTGGGAAACAGAGACAGTAAACATTGTGAGAGACACTGAAACAGTTACATGCTCCTCTGTGTTACTAATTATCTAATTATAAAAAAAATTATAGAACTGAGCACTTAAAGATCCTCAGGTGAGGTGTAATCCATTGCATTGGGATCTTATTTACTCTGTATTTGCTTTGTATAAGCATCTTTAGGAAATATGCAGTATTGAACTGAGTTTAGCATGTCAGAATTGTATTCACTTGGTAGCTTGGTCAGAATACAAGTAGTAGATACAAGAGTTAAGGAGAAAAGGGCAACAAAATCTGTAAATCATGTACTTGTTTAGAAAATGTGATAGGCCAGTGGAGAACTCTGTCTTCTAGAAGGCAAAGATAAATCTGAAGGGCTAGGTTGCTTAAACAGCTGAGCTGCCGATTTTGCTAAGATGAGCGTAGTACGCTATTAAAAAAGACATGATTGTCACCTATGCCTAATGCTATTGTTAATATTAAAATACTCTTCAAAATCTGTTAGATCTGTATACACAGAGAAATGTATGTGTGTTGTCTTGTGGAGCTTGCAATGTGTAAAAATGTCTACAACATTAAAACGCCTTTTAAGATAACTTGAAGTAGCCGCTGTAATAAAAAACAAAGGAGGTTTTGTGCCTCTCTCTGCTTTGTCTGCATTTCCAGGCCAACATGTACGTCATGTTTGTCAAAGTAATCAATATGAATAATTTAAAAGAGCGAAAGTAACCAGTTGGCAACTCCTCAGTTGCCAGAACCAGTGTGAACTGATAATGAGGTCAGAGACCACCAAGGGGAGAGTTACAAACAGTGCAGGTGACGAACAAAGTGAAAATCATTATAACGTGTCCCACTGACAGAGTTTGTAAGCTCTGGGATGGAAGTGACATGCAAAACTGGTTTCATAAGTGGAAGAAGTGTAGCAGTTCAGTTTCTCCAAACATAGTGAACACTAAACAGGAAAAAGAAAAAAAATGATGCCCCAAATGAATTAGTGTGTACAACAAAGAAAAATGCACCATTAAACCGAAAAGCACCTTCCAAGAGATAGTTCCAAGCAGGCTTAAGAGGGAGATGATATTTTAGGGAATTTAATTTCTGAGTTTTGTGGTTGTGTGTTGACCCTGGCTCGGGCCCAGGTGCCCACCAAAGCCACTGTCACTGCTCTCCTCAGCTGGGCAGAGGAGAGAAAACAGAATGAAAAGCTCATGGGTCAAGGTAAGGACGGGGAGGGATCATTCACCAATTACCGTCATGGGCAAAACAGTCTTGACTTTGGGAAAAATTAATTTAATTTCTTACCAATAAAATCAGATTAGGATAATGAGGAATAAATCCAAATCTTAAAACACCTTACCCCCACCCCTTCCTTCTTTACCAGGCTCAGCTTCACTCCCAATTTTCTCTACCTCCTCCCCCTGATCAGCACCGGGAGACGGGGAATGGGGGTCATGGAGGATCCTCACATTCTGCCCTTGCTCCAGTGTGGGGTCCCTCCCACGGGAGACAGTCCTCCACCAACTTCTCCAATGTGAGTCCTTCCCAAGGGCTGCAGTTCTTCATGAACTGCTCCAGTGTGGGTCCCCCCATGGGGTGCCGTCCTTCAGGAGCAGCTGCTCCAGTCTGGGTCCCCCCGGGGTCACAAGTCCTGCAGCAAACCTGCTCCAGCCCGGGCTCCTCTCTCCATGGGGCCACAGCTCCTGCCAGCTCCCCACAGGGTCCCAGCCTCCTTCGGGCATCTCCCTGCTCCAGTGTGGGGTCATCCCCAGGCTGCAGGTGGGTCTGTGCCCCCCTGTGACCCTCCATGGCTGCAGGGCACCGCTGGCCTCACCATGGGCTGCACGACAGACTGCCGGGAAATCTGTGCTCCTCCCCCTGGGGCACCTCCTGCCTCCCTTCTCCACTATCGTTGGGGTCTGCAGGGCTGTTCCTCTCAAGTATTCTCACTCCTGTCTCATGCTGAAGTTCCCATTGCACAGGTTTTGGTTTTCCCTTCTTAAAGACATTGTCCAGAGGCACTACCACCGTCACTGATGGGTTTGCCCTTGGTCAGTGGCAGCTCTGTCTTGAAGCCAGCTGGCATTGGCTCTGTCAGGCATAGGGGAGGCTTCCAGAAGCTTCTCACAGAAGCCACCCCTGTCGCTCTGAGCTACCAAAACCTTGCCATGCAAACCCAATACAAGGTTTCATTTGAGTTTCAGAATGGGTTAAAGCATATATATTTGTATCGTGTCTCCTTGGAGACAAGTGGGTAAACTAATGCTATACACTTTCATTTTAACATTTCAAGCTGCCTGCTCCAGGCCATATATTAGCTGAGTTTGTTAGCTGTTTATGCTTTTTTTATATGTAATAAAAGGAGACGGGCACGTCTAGCTGGGGATTCATCCCACTCTTTGAGAGATGCCTGTTTTAAGATAGTGCAAATAACATTTAGCTGGGTCAAGTTAGGTAAGACAAATCCTATCATTACAAACAAGCTGAGAAAACAAGCAATAGGATACTAGAAAATAAAGTACTGCTCTTGGTAAATGAAATATGTTGAAGATTTTTTGATACAACAGTCTAGATCTAGATCATACAATTTGTCCCTAATCAGAAGAAAAATAAGTGACTAAACTGAGGTGCTAGAAGCCTTAGTACTTAGAGAAAGATGTGCAAGGTGTTAGCAGTGAAGAGTAATCTAAAAAGTGCATGGACCTGGAAGTGCTCCACATGCACATCTGTGACAAGTGATGAACAGTGACCTAGTTCCTATTATATGATATTTTTACAGAGAGAACTTTTGACAAAGGAAAAGGTAGACTTTTGAGTTGCTTTACAGTACTAGTCATTGATGAAACACAGATGACTTGGTAAATGAGTGTGCAGATTACATAATATTCAAAATAAAGTTCTGAAATTAGCAGGGCATCAGAATATCTCTTCTGATGGAAAGCGCATAGCTGATGTATTGTTCCAGGCTCAAAGATCATTTGTCCAAATACAACTGCAGTTCCTTGAAAGAGAAATGAATGTCTGGGCACATAGGTAAATGTATGAATAATAAGAAAGATCAAAATGAAACAGTGTTAAACAATTAAAATTATGACCATATATACATAGTTGGAGCTAAATAGAGGATTCTTGTACTTGGATTAGTAACATCTTTTAGAAGGATTAATAACTCTTGTGATTGACCGAAAGACTGGCTTTGCATATTACAAGTATTTGCATGTAATAATGACAGTGAAATTTATGGAAGCATGTCTTATTCCTGAGTAAGGATACAGAAAAACAGCAAGATAATATTTTTTCATAAATACATGCTTAAGGTAGGTGACAGTCATGTCACTCTGTCATATAGTGGATGACAAATGTGTACTTCCAGAGAACTTCACAAGTTGAAAAGATGATTCATGATTAGATTTTTGATTTTATTTTCTTTCTGCCATAGTTTGAGGGTTCATTTGTTGCTAGACACAAGTTCCTGTGTATTTTGTGACCTGTTAGTCCAAACACCTTCAGAGCAGAATCTCTATTGCTGTTGTCTTCATGAGATGGTTTGCTACTTCTAGGCAAACCTGTTTGTTGGCTTTTCTCCTGATTGACCTCTCAGCATAGTTGTCTCCATCTTCCTAACTTATTCCTGTATATTTCTTGCTTTTCTTTCATTTATTTCTTGCTTTTCTTAGACTTATGGTGCTGAGTAGAAGCCACTGTTCATACCAGGGAGCGTTTATTTTTTTATGACCAGTGAGGAAATATTGGTAATACAAAAAGAGGATTAATTGTTTATAGATTATTAGCTCTTTCAACTCAATATGTAAAAAAGACAAATTTGTATAGCATACTAAAATAGGTGCAATGTTACCTCTGCACTAACTGTTAAAAAATATCTGGGGTAAAGAAAGACTTCCAGAAGATACCATCAGTGGAAAGAAAAATCTGTAAAACTAGCCACGTATTTTCTGTAGAGAACAAAAGAGTAGGAGGATAGTGTGGGAGGAGCCAAGAGCACTGGAAGGTGTTTCTAATATTATCAGAAAAAACTTATAAGGAAAGAGTCCCCTTTAATTAAAAGCAGACTAAATCAAGTATGCTTTGATTTTTAAATAGCTGAGAGGGGAAAAGGAAGAATAGAAAAATGCGTGGTTAGAAAGTGATTGAAATTTAAGAGTCACTTGGAGACTTTGAATACATGTTAGACCCTTTAAGAAATTAATAAGCTTACGGAACTTTTGCCAATTATTTTGGAAAAGTTATTGCATGCAGAGAATTATTTAGAAACACAAGAAAGGTGTCTACTTTTGAAGGAATTAAAAATATTTGTCTGGAAAAATGGCAAGAATGTGGCACTGTAAATTAGAGTATTTATAAATAGTTCAATAAAAGGTTTGGTTGGGGGAGAGACCATACTGCACAGACTTGATGTCTCCAAAAAAAAGAAAAGCAATGAATCGTTATATGAAAGGGATTCTGCAATTTTAGTGATTATAGGGGGGTACATTGTGGTTGGAAAGGTACTTTCCATTGGTTGGAGATGAGCATTCTTCAGTAGCTTGAAAACTATATGAAGGACTGAAAACCAGTACTAACATGAAGTAAGACTGTAGTGATTTAAAGGAATGAGTACTAAAAGTGCAAACTGCCTTTTTCAACAGAACTTTGTATATATAAGTTCTTATCTTTGTAACAGGCTTCAATGTCATCAGTGCTTTTTCATTTAACAGTGAAGCTCATTTGAAGGCAGTGGTAACATTTCTGTAAAGGTATGCAGAAAGAATGTTCTCACCCAGCTTACATTGTCATAGTGTATCTCAGGTAAATGAATTATAATAATTTAATTTTTAACTAAGAGAAATACCTAACATTTCTAAACTACCCAGTTACTTAATACTGAAATGATATTTCTAAGAGATATTTATCAAGAAATATTTTTCTGTCCAGATTTGATGTT